GAGAAAGGTTGTGGGTTTTGAGAAAAACTTAGTTGATTACTACCCGCTACTGACCCAACAATACTACTTCTAGGTTCAACAACATACAATGTAACATCATCTTGTGAAACACTAATGTAAGCAATGAATCGTTCAACATCTTCATTGTCGGTTAACAAATAAACTTTACCATTTCTCTGATAAGATAGCCTAAATCCACTTAGGGGCTCTAAATTCAATTTATTTGAAACACGTAGCATTAGAGTTTCATAAGTTAACTTTTGTAAAGACAATTTTAGTTGAAGATTTATGGGTAAAGGCATATATTGTAAAACACCATTAACATTATCCCATGACCCTCCAAAACACAAATCTATCCAAACATGATCAACATTAGATGATTTCATGGTTGTAACTAAACAAACGAGATGCGAAACTAAGACCTGTTGCCGGATGGGGAAGGATGTCGTTGGATATAGGAACGGATGTCGCCGGAGAGAGTGATAGATGGAGATGGAATGAGTTGCGATTTAGGGATTTAGTTTATGATTTCAGTGTTATATACCCAAAATTTCAGTGTTGTGATTTACAGATTCTCGTTGCGATTTACGGATTATCGTTGCGATTTACAGATTCTCGTTGCGATTTACGGATTATCGTTGCGATTTACGGATACGCGTTGCGATTTACGGATTATCGTTGCGATTTACGGATACGCGTTGCGATTTACGGATACGCATTGCGATTTACGGATACGCGTTGCGATTTACGGATACGCGTTGCGGTTTACGGATACGCGTTGCGATTTACGGATACGCGTTGCGATATACGGATACGCATTGCGATTTACCCATACGCGTTGCGATTTACGGATACACGTTGCGATTTACGGATACGCGTTGCGATTTATGTGTTCACGTTGCGATTTTCATATTCGCGTTGCGATTATGGAAAATCGCAATGCGAATTTGTACTATCGCATCGCGATTTTCAAGAATCGCGTTGCGATTCTGGAAACTGATTTGCGATTCTGGGGATCGCGTTGCGATTTTTATTTCGCGTTGCGATTTTGTTGGTCATTTTGGCAAATCCAAAAAAAGTTGGTTAAAATCGTATATTATAACTTTTTTTTGGTCACTGAGGCGATTTTCTCTTATTTTAATCATTTAAATCGGTTCCATGAATATCAGTAAACATAAATTAGTAAAGCTCATTGATATTAGGTTTCGTCGAATGAATTATATAAATATATATATATATATTTAAATTTTGTAAAAAACATTTTTGGACTTTAAATATTATTAGATTTATTATTTTGATTTTTTTAATTTTTTTCTATAAAAAAATATAAATTTACAATATTAACGTTGTAACAAAATCATAGGTTATCATGTGTTGCATAAATAACACCGCTATAAAAAAAAAGTATTAGAATAATATAAGAAATAAAAGTCTAAAAATTAACTTAAAATATTTTTCAAATACTCATTTAAAATAAAATGTTAAAATTCAAATATCAAAATATATTTAAATTCTATGCTAAGAAAATACAATCTTCTAAAACAATAATTTAAGAAAAAATTAGCCCCGAGTCTTTTTAATATTACTCTCGTTATATAATAAAGTTTACAAATTGTGTAAGAAAAACTAATGGCTACTTTAATTTAAAAAATATTATTTAGAGTCACTTCGTGAATATATTATATTTAAAATAATTTCACTAATAAAATATGAATCTTCAATTTAAAAATATGCTTGAGAAGGAGGCAAGTACTTAAAATCCAATTAGACAACACAACGACCTCAAAAGTAAAGCTAAAGATGTACGATAATAACAAGCACAACAACAACAGTGACAATATATTTAGTACATAATATTATTTTGTAGGAAGAAAATTATTTAATAATATTTTGATGCCACTTTAAGGTGAGGCTAAGGTTTAGCAAAGAATTATTGGTTTTTATTGAGGGTTTCAGGTTTAAGCATTAAGAATGTCATAAATATGAGCGTTTAATTTTAAATGATAGAATTAACTATGAATAAACAATATCTCGTATTTACTCTAGATTAATAAAAAAACACAGAACGATACCAAAGGCAAAGCCGAAGCAACACTTTATTAATGTGGTTTAAATCTTATCTTGAAATTGACATATACCGATACCTTGGTACCATGACAGAAAAACAAGATTTGGCAATGTACGACCACCCAAATATAAATTCATTGCAGGTCTTGAAAAACCAACCCCATTCAATTCAACACCCAACAATGGCTTAAATGGTCCACACCCTGTGGTCCTGCCACTTCTAATTAACAAACAACAACGATGCAAACACCTGAACTACAAATTAAGTTTCTCACCCTTCTCCATTTTCAAAGGAAATATAACATCACTCCTAATTCAGTGTATATTCATTAAATATAAACCTTTGTATTGTAAAATAACATCCATTTGGATAATCAAGTTCACTTTTTGTCAATTCAAATATTTTAAAATTAAATATTTAAAAAAAAAAGAACAAAGGTATTCCAACCTGAAAGAAATAATGGATGGGGTCAGGCAATCATTCAAGAAACATGTTAGATCACATAACATGTTGAACACCTTCCAGGCACTAAACTTCCTGCTTGTTTGATTCATCAGACAAATATGGAACAGATAAGATCAATTTTCAACTATTTTAAGCCATTGCTGACTGCAATTTGTATCATATCCGACAAACAGGGGCCCTAGTTTTCACTACAATATGCACCCACTCACATGTTAAATCTCAGTTTCTGCTTCCTGCAAGAACCTAAAACATTTAACCATAGAATGCGCGCCATGGCTCTCCACCACCACCACTTGCTGCCTTTGCCGTTGGAATCCAATTAGTTTTGGTTTCTTCTCCTTGGAAGTACGTCCCAGTGGCACTTGTTAAGAGGAGAAAAGCGAATGGCACTAGTTCCTCCCTTAGTTAAGAGGATTTTCTTGGAGAACAATAAAATAAATAGAGGAAATTGTTTTTTCTACCCTGATACGTTTCTTTCAATTCAATTTCATCCTCTAATTTTCAAATAGTTTTGGTTCGATCCTTTATGCCACTCACTTTTTGTGCTATAATGACTAATGAGTCGATTAGGATCATAATTATCATTCTAATCTTGATTTATCAACTGCTAATATAACTGTGATAGACATATATTCATATTTGAATGTCGGTCAAATAATCTTTTAAAATGAACATTTTGCTTCAATAACTTCAGTTTTTAGAGAGTACACAATTTACAATACTTCAACAATATACATTCATGAAAATTGCCTGTAAAATGTATTTCTATTTGTCAAATGGGAACTGCAATTTAAAAGAAGAAAAAAAAAGGCTTTCAATATCTTCACTCAATCTTCCAGGCATAAAGGAACAAGCTGAATTCCGATGTGATGCCGACACCTAGTGTAGAATAATACTTGCTTCCGCTGTTGCTGTCTCCTCCGCCGTGGCTGCTTCCTTCTCTGTCACTCTCCGCTTCGGCCATCACCGGCTTGAATATGAACACACCGTGGCCGGTACCAAGGCTGCTGAACAACCAGTCGTAGACATCCCACATGACTTGAACCGGTTGCTTATCGACCAGAGCAGTCTGGTTCCCTCTGAATTTCCATTGCAAATTCTTGACGTGAACCAAAACTACCCCGTCCACGCTGATCCACATTTCAGGATCCTTTATTCTGGTTATTGAACTCTCAACAACAATGTCGTGTTCTCTGTTTTTTCCATCGAATCTAGCTCGTGTTGCAAAGCTTCTTGGCAAACACGTTTTCCTTCTTGTAAATCAGGAGAGGTTCAACCAAGGTCGGTCTCGATTTCGTTCTCTTGTACGCCTTTTTCTTGTAATCCCCCAGTAACAAAACCACCTCTTCATCGGCAACTAGCAAGATGTAGTAATCCGATACCTGTTCGGGGCCGCTGGTGAATTTAGCGGAACGAAGATCCCAGTAAACGTGTAATTGGCTCCCTTCAACCTCAAATGACTTGTACCCTCTTTTGCTCCAGAAATGCCAAGGCTTATGATCGATCTTGCAGGAGTATTGGAAATTCCCTTGCGTGCTATTCACCTTGATGCTGAGAGAATGGTTCAAAACGTTCTTGCACCGCAAAACCTTGACGTTCTGATAATATCCGACTATACTCGTCTGGTACACCAACGTAACGGTGGTCTGAGCGTTTTTATTGTTCGTCTGTGGGTGAGGTTCTTCGGTTACTCTTTCTGCATAATTCGACGAGCTTCCAACTGACTGAGCTCTCAAGGGGAAATGAAATGCCATTTGTAGATGCAAATTTTATTGTTTTTTCATGCAAAACCTCTAATGATTCAGTGCCACGGCATCTGATCTGATCTCATCCAATTTTTTTCTTCACAAGATTTTATATATACCCATATATAACCCTATATATGGTAGAAGATAACGATACCTTGTGTCCGAAAGTTTCATGGGATTAAAGAATGCTGGCATCTTAGCTTATGAACGATGGGATTAAAGATAATACCAAGTTCAGCGAAAACAAAATTGCAGAAGAGAAATACGTGAGCATGCTGGTCTGTTTTTGGCAGAAATTGTGATTCTTTTTGGGAAGAGACGGAATGAAAGAACACAGGGAACTTTGTCTCTCCATGGAGTGAAAACCTCCATCCAAAGGTTGCAAGAAAAAAATGGTTTCCGAAACTAGGGGACGACAAAAATTTCCTCAAAACCAATTTGCTATATATAGTCTAAGTTTGCCCTTTTTTAAAAAATCAATGAGCGTCCGAGACATGTACAGCAGCCAGACAGGGTAAGTTACAATTTTCTGGCTGACATGAACATCATAGTCAATTTTACAATGACATGCAACAGTTAAAGAGTGGAATGAGGTGTCTGTGATCTGCAAATATGCCTGTTTTTCTATTTTTACTGCAACAAACATCTTCATTGTCGTGTTTTTCTACACTGACAAACTATTCATTGTCTAAACATTTTGACCAATATTCTACAATAAATTTAAACTAGATCCTCATTTGAAGTTGCTTTATTTACTACTGCATCATCGTTTTCATAACTATCTTTTTTATTGCCCTTTCCAAAGGATCTCCTGCCACCATGTCTAGATTTTAGGATTCCTCCAACATGATGGGCTGAAGCATCAGCCTGAACGGCCTCTATGTACAACAGCTTCACCAAATTCCTAAACCGACGACGGAATGTTGGTACCCGGGACATGGAAGTTACAATTCCCTGCAATCTGTCGAAAAATGAAAATGGCATGATGACAGATGAGCGTACCAAGTAAAGTTAGAAAACTTAAAGCTCAGGTTATGGTTCCATCTTCCAAATAGCATGCTACATAATGATTTATCCTGCACAATAAGATGGGCAAATGAAAAGATCAGTCGACCAGTTGAAGAATTGTTTGGTTTACTGATATAGCTTGTTCTCGTACCTTCTAATTATGGCTTGAAGTTGTGCTCTCCTGACATTATCATCAGATGGATAACCTGTTGTTGTAGAATTCGGGTTAATTTCCAACAATAATAACAAATTCACCTTGAAAATTATTATCTAGGTGACTAGTGTGAAAATGATTGTACTAAAAATCACCCCAATGTAGATTCCCAGGAAAGAGGAGGGGTCACAATGATCCCTCTTAAAATCCACTTTCCTTAGACAGAACTACCAAGACAAGTAATTTTAATAGGACAATAATTAACAACTATACCCGACAATAGCTATTAAATAGACATAAAGAGAACACCAAAATTTAACGAGGTTAAGCCAAAATTATGCCTACCTCCTCGATCACTACTAAAATAATATTTCACTAATAGAGAAAATATTACAAAGAGAGAAAGAGTACAAATAACCTTTAATAGTGAAGAAGGCTTATATTTGTGGGATGCTAAACTAAGAAGGAGGAGGGCTCTATTTATAACAAAAGAATTTCCCCTCCTCCTTATACAAAACCAATGTGGGATATTTGCCAAAAACCAACAAATCTCCACTTTGGCAAATTCCACACATGTCTCTCAAAAAATCCAATCTTCAGTAGTGTCTGCAAATTCATCTTTCAATTTGTAACAATATTGACCAAGTCTAAACAATGTTTAAACTTGACCGCAGTTACCACTTTTGTCAACATATCAACAGGATTCTCAGTGGTCCGAATCTTCTGGATTATGACTCCACCTTCTTCTAGAATCTCTCGTACAAAGTGATATCGAACATTGATGTGCTTTGTCATTGCATGATAAACTTGGTTCTTTGCTAAATGAATAGCACTCTGACTGTCACAGTGCACTTTGATGTGCTTTTGTTTCATTCCCAATTCACCAAACAACCCTTGAAGCCAAATTGCCTCTTTCACAGCCTCTGTAACTGCCATATACTCTGCCTCTGTAGTAGACAAAGCCACTGTTGACTGTAAGGTGGATTTCCAACTGACTGGTGTTTTTGCAAATGTAAACACATAACCAGTAGTTGATCGACACTTGTCCAAATCACCTGCATAGTCTGAATCACAATACCCAACTACACACTGACCATCTTGTTTGTCCTGCTGAAAGACCAAACCAACATCAACGGTGTTCAGAATATACCGCAGAATCCATTTCACAGCTTCCCAATGCTCCTTTCCAGGATCATGCATATACCTGCTCACAACCCTAACTGCTTGTGAAATATCGGGTCTCGTACACACCATTGCATACATTAAGCTACCAACAACACTTGCATATGGAACCTTTGACATGTATTCCCGTTCTGCATCATCCTTAGGTGACATGGATGCACCGAGCTTGTATTGAGGAGCAAGAGGTGTACTAACTGGTTTTGACTTCTCATTCATGCCAAAACATTTTAGTACCTTCCTCAGATATTCTTTCTGAGACAAACAAAGCCTCCCCAATTTCTTATCCCTTGATATCTCTATGCCTAGAATCTTCTTTGCTTCACCAAGTTCATTCATCTCAAACTCCCTGTTCAATTGAGTCTTTAATTTCGCAATCTCTGTCTGACTCCTGGAAGTTATCAGCATATCATCAACATAAAGAATAAGATATATATAGGATCCATCTTGTAGCTTGCGTAAATACACACAATGATCATATTTGCTTCTTGTGTACTTCTGCCCTATCATAAACTTGTCAAATCGCTTGTACCACTGCCTTGGAGATTGCTTCAATCCGTATAGCTATTTTTCTAATTTGCACACCATCTCTTCTTTTTCTGCAACTTTGAATCCATCTGGCTGAGTCATGTAGATTTCCTCATCCAAGTCTCCATGTAAAAATGCAGTTTTTACATCCATCTGAACTAGTTCCAAATCCAACTGTGCTACCAAAGCCAACAAAATTCTGATGGAGGAATATTTTACAACTGGAGAAAATATTTCATTATAATCAACTCCCTCCGTTTGAGCGTAGCCTTTAGCCACCAATCTTGCTTTGTAGCGGATGTTATTCTTGTCAGGAAATCCATCTTTCTTTGCATATACCCACTTGCACCTAATTGCATTATTTCCCTTCGGAAGACTAGCTAGTTTCCACGTCTGATTCTTTTGAAGGGATTGCATTTCTTCATTCATAGCGATCCTCCACTTTTTATGTTATGAACTTTGGACTGCTTCATTAAAAGTGGCAAGAACGTCATCAATTACAATTGGTGATGCAAAAGAGACCATATCAGCATAACGAGTAGGTTGTCTAATGGTCCTCTTTCCCTTTCTGAGTGCAATTGATTCATGTTGCTGTGGAGGTTCTTGGGTTTGAACCTCTTCTTCATCAGACTCTTCTTCTACCATAGGAGAGTCAACATCAGTTTCTTTACTGGCTGGGTCAATTCTGCTTCCTTCAAACTCTACCTGTTTGGGAGTTCCATCTGTCTGTTCCAATTTTTCTGAAGTCACCTTTCTCAACATGGTAGATTCATCAAAGATAACATCCATGATGAAGATTATTTTCTTTGTTTCTGTACACCAAAGACGATAGCCTTTCACACCAGAGGTGATCCCCATAAAGATCGCCTTATTTGCTCTTGGATCCAGCTTTGACTCCTTAACATGGTAGTATGCAGTGGAACCAAACACATGTAAGGAATCATAATCTATAGTAGGTTCTCCAAACCATTTCTCTAATGGTGTTTTACCACCAATAGCAGTCGATGGCAAGCGGTTGACAATATGACAAGCATAGACCAAAGGCTCAGCCCAAAATTCTTTGCCTAACCCAGCATTAGACAACATACACTGAACCTTCTATTTCTGCTAATCTTGGTTCTTCGTACCTACGTGTAAATCGCTTACACGCTAAGTCATAGACTTAGTGAGGCATAATAATAATAACAATGATGCTATAATAAAATAAAACGTAACGAAAACATCTATGCAATCAATGTAAGCTATATAACAATGTACCTTATCAATAATCTTCTCAATTTAATCATCATAAATTCATATAATAAATTCCGTAAGTTCAATAGATTCAATAGCCCATGATACAATACTGAGAACCCGAGGTATGTGAGTACTGTGAGGTTGTGCACTATGCTGTCACCACAGCTCATATAAATTTGCACCGAAGTACCACGTAGAATTGCACCGTAGTGCCATATAATATGTCCCTAAGGACCACATATAAATTCCTTAAGAATCATATATATATACCAAGGATCAAGTACATGTCTCAAAAGACATCATATATGCTCCAAAGAATACATATACGTCCCGAATGACCACGTAGAATTTTTGTCCCGAAAGACCGCGTAGACCCTGTACTCTTGGCATGCCAACTATACCTATAGTTCTCATCTACATAACATGGGCTTTTACATTTCACGTAGTTTATATCGCGTAGACATGTAACTTCTTACCTTTATCACATAGCTCATATCATCTTTTCATGTAATCATATAACTCCATGTTGCATAATTGTTTTCACATTTTCATGTAATACATAAATCAGGTAAAATAATGCATATAACACACATAACATATGATCATAGTAATGTACACTTAGAAGTCATATTATTATTCATGTATCAAGATATAAAATCTAGACTTATCACAAGTCTAGACCTGAATGTATTTCTATAATCATGATACGCATATGCACTCACCTAAATCTCTTTGCCTTTCCCTCGATCGATCTTACTCGTCCCTTGTTCCGGAACTCGTTTAGGCTCGATATCTACATGAACATAATTTTCGAGACAATTATCAAAATCCTAAACCTTGCAATTAACCTCTAACATCTTAAACAAATTTAATGAACCAAATCTCAACTTTTCCTTTAGGGGGAATCGATTCCCCCCCAGGGGGTATCGGTTCCCTCCGCATAATCTGTAAATTTTACTGTTCAAATCCGAAAATCCTCCATTCTTACTAAATTTTCTCATACACAATTTCTCACATACTACCAAACTTAGCTACAACCATTTTAACTAACTTCTATCATTTCAACACTTTATTATTTCCAATACTTCATTCAAATTCTTAAAACCAATAATCATACCCAAATTCCAAACATGTTATTAATCAATTCTAACACTCTATATTCCTTAATTAACCTCTTGACAAGTCAAAAATCTTATTCAAACTTCAAAAACTCATCCATATCAAAATTTCATCTAAAAACCCATTTTTCAAATATATCTCTAAAACATTTATCTTATTGTTTTAATGTCATATAAGCTTTCCTTTAGCTTATATAACATCCAAACTTCAATTTCCAAGCTAAAAATCAAAGAAACGACCTAAGTTCGGATTCTTACCTTGAGCTTGGGTTTCACGTTGAAGAGGAAAAAGATGAAGAGAAAAGGGGGATGAGTAATCTGGAACTTATCTCTTCAATTCATTCACATGGGTATTATAATACCCACAATTTATTATTTTATTATTTTATTTGCTCAATGACCCTTTTACCCTCTTACTTCTTCTTCACTTATTAATCAATCCTACACCAACATCTTTCAATTAATTCATTCACTTTTCAATTTATTTAGTTTGGTCATTGAATTAAAAATCTTACACTTAAATCACTAACCCGATATTGAGGATGTTACATTCCATCTGTCTGCTCCAATTTTTCTGAAGTCACCTTTCTCAACATGGTAGATTCATCAAAGGTAACATCCATGCTGAAGATTATTTTCTTTGTTTCTGGACACCAAAGACGATAGCCTTTCACACCAGAGGTGATCCCCATAAAGATCGCCTTCTTTGCTCTTGGATCCAGCTTTGACTCCTTAACATGGTAGTATGTAGTGGAACCAAACACATGTAAGGAATCATAATCTATAGTAGGTTCTCCAAACCATTTCTCTAATGGTGTTTTACCACCAATAGCAGTCGATGGTAAGCGGTTGACAAGATGACAAGCATAGACCAAAGGCTCAACCTAAAATTCTTTGCCTAACCCAGCATTAGACAACATACACCGAACCTTCTCCACTAATGTCCGGTTCATACGCTCTGCCACCCCATTCTGTTGTGGTGTACTTCTGACAGTGAAGTGCCTGACAATACCTTCTTCTTCACAGACTTTCAGAAATGGATCATTTTTGTACTCTCCACCATTTTCTGTACGGAGACGTTTGATTTTTCTACCTGTTTGAGTCTCCACTATTTTTTTCCATTTAAGGAAAAATCCTAGCACCTCATCCTTTGTCTTCATTGTATACACCCAAACTCTCCGGGAAAAATCATCAACAAATGTGACATAATAGTGTGTTCCTCCCAATGAAGTTGTCTTGGAAGGCCCCCATACATCTGAATGAGCATAATCCAAAATACATTTAGTATCATGGATTGCTGTTCCAAATTTCACCCTCGTCTTCTTCCCTTTGATGCAATGCTCACAAAAAACTAATTTGCAAGCCCGAGCACCCTTCAATAATCTTTGATCTATCAGCAATTTCAAGGATTTTTCACCAATATGCCCCAAGCGCATATGCTATGACCTGGTTGCTTCTGACTCCTGATCATCAGTAGAAGCTGCCACTGCTGCTGTCCCAATAATTGTACTACCCAGAAAGTAATACACATTGTTTCTTTTCCAGATTCCCTTCATTATCACCAGAGATAATCCTCATAATCCCATCTTTTTCCCTCACTTCTAAACCTTTTGACTCTAAGGTTCCCACATAGATGAGATTTCTCATTAAATCTGGTACATAATAGACACATGTTAAGGTTCTAATTGATCCATCCTGATTCCTCAAGTGAATTGAACCAATCCCAAGTGTGTCAAGAGGGGATGTTAAACTAAGGAGGATGAGGGCTCTATTTATAACAAAGAGAACACCAAAATTTAACGAGGTTAGGCCAAAATTATGCCTACCTCCTCGAACACTACTAAAATAATATTTCACTAATAGAGGAAATATTACAAAGAGAGAAAGAGTACAAATAGCCTTCAATAGTGAAGAAGGCTTATATTTGTGGGATGCTAAACTAAGGAGGAGGAGGGCTCTATTTATAACAAAAGAATATCCCCTCCTCCTTATACAAAACCAATGTGGGATATTTTCCAAAAACCAACACCTGCATCATTCCAGTCCTCAGGTGTCTCATTTTTGCACTCCATAACAAGCTTCCTCAGGCAAGCCTCTTCACTTTCATCTAATTCGAGTTTCTTTAATTGCTCTTTCATTATAAAGAGTGGCCTAATGAACCATTCAAACACCTTATCCCTTGGCATATAACTCCTTGTTAATTTTGCATTGTCACATGGGAAATTCAATCACAAAATAATATGATTATAACCCTAGTATCCTCCATAATGTTGGTCTTAATAAAGTGAGAGAGTGAGGCACATACTGATCACTAAGCCAGACGAGTCACCCTTAACTGATGTCAGCAGACACTGCAAAATGGACCAAGCATGTAGTCTTATACCCGGCTTTCTACAATTTCCCTTGACAATGCATTCCTCGATGTCCTTGATAGTTATTAGGCTGTCATAGAGGAGTCTCCTACCATTCACCTCACAGGATTTAAAAAGCCAGTCCCATACCTATAAAATATCAAACCTAATTGAGCACTTGTACATTAGACATTAATTCGATATTATACGTCAAAGAGCTGACCTGCATAGGTCTATACTGTTGGATAGCCCACTTCAATGTTCTTGAGTTCTCTGAAACAAGTTTTTGGCGGGATGCCTCACCTTTACTCTCCAATTCATTGTAACGGTTATCATCAACCTTCTCGATATCATGGTTATGACCCATGTTTCTACGATATCTGGGTCTGACTGTCAAAAGCATGTCTCATAATCACAATCAAGAGATATGTGTAAAAATAAAAGGAAGACAATCACCGTAGTAACTAGGAACACTATGTTCCTAGGACTTGAGAGTAAGTGTACATTTAATTTTTTTGAAGTTCTTAAATACCAAGTGTCCTAGGATGAATATGCAGCTCCACTATGTTTGAATATGTGTTGGACACGAGTACTTCAAGAAAAATGAAAAGTCAAAGCATGCATAGGAGGAACATTCATGGTTCTTCTAGTGATTAAAATAAAGAACATTAACACATGTTGTACCTGGGCAGGCAGGATCCTTCCCTCAAGTAGAGTAATTCGTTTACATACTCATCAAATAGAGAAACCACAGATATAATATAGGAAAATCCCATGTAAAGTGAATCTTCCTGGAATTTAACAAATATGTTGGACATAACTTGAAACCAATTGAAACAAAAGAAGTGTATAAGAGCAAAAAACAGAGAAAGAAACATTTTCAGACCTGATGCACGATAACTCCTGCGTAAAACCCCAGAAAGAAGCTTACAATCATAGCTCCTACTACAGCTCCCACAACAGCCAAAGGCCATAAAAGTATTGCTAAACCGGAAAAGGGAACACACACCGTCTCGAAGAATGGCCCTTCCCAACCAATTAAATATTCAAACAGCCTTTTCCATCCTTGGAATAGCATATATGGGCTTTTCCATAGAGTAACAGCTGTAATCAAAGGCACATCAACTAACATGCCAATCAAGCCAACCAACAAGCAACCTGGTAATTTCAATAACCTTGCAAGAACAAAATGTAATAAATCCCAAGAGTTTACTTATATTTATTGAATGGTGCAAAGCAAAGCTTAAGAAGGGAAGTTCTTACTTTATATCCATGGGTTTCTCATCCGGAGACATTTTTTCACTTAGCTCATCCATGTAGGAGAAGTATGAGTGGAAACAGAAATCCGTAAAGTCCGTCACCACGGTGCAGCTTCCTTTAATGGTGGACAAACAACCATCCTGGCATAACATTATTAAGCTTCCATTTTGTTGTTTAAATGAAGTGTGTTGCATGCAAATAACACACTGGACAAAAGGTTCCCAAACTAATTCACAATATATATCAGTCATGTAGTGCGAAAGTTATAGTTGAATCATCATAAATGTTATAAGTGCTAATAATTATAGACATTTCCGGAACAAAAAAGAAAGAGAGAAAACAACATAATTGTGTTGTTAGGATATAGTTGGACATGCCATCCTAATTTAAGTATCAGACACAAGGCCCAGAAGGCATTTTGATTGAATGAAATATGCAGGGATACACATTCCTTTCCACTTTTAAGTACATTTGACAACCCGAATGGCCACTTTGTTTTCATCCTAGTGAAGAAAGCTATTTCGACAATCAAAGTGCGTCCCTATATTTGTATAAATTGCAGAGACATTTATATATGAAAAAAGCATTATTCATGCTAGAGTGGAAGATATAGGCAAAGGACTACAATAATATAATGCTTATTAATAATGGAACCAAACTTACATTTTAACTGTTCTACTCTTGGAAAAAATTAACACAAAATTCTGTCAGGTAGCTTGCAAAGGAAGCAAACATAAATGAAGGCCGAGAAAAGCAATTCACAGCAAAGCAGTGGTAGCATTTGTCAATCGCATTCTGCCCAATCGCATTCTGCCAGGAGGCCTCGAAAGTTGCAATAAGGGGAGCAAAAAATCCATACCCAATCCCACCTAAAAGGCTTCCAACAACGGCTACGACCGGCCAGAGAACCAGCAGTACAATCAACGATACTAGAACCACGATCTTTAGAGCCAATCCCAGCCTCTTTGTTCTGAAATTACAAGTCGAAGAAACAAAAATAAGGACACTGTTGACGAAAACGGGTAAAGAAAACGAAAGAACACGAGAATTTTACGAGGTTCGGCAATGTGCTTACGTCCTCGGTGCCTAGGCGGCGCTAGAATTTTTATTCAATGATATTTTAGGTCTAGGTTACATCTCTATTTATAATAGAAAACTCTGGTACATAATTACAAAATCAACCCTGTACCGTACCGCGGGGCTACGCCCCCGCACCCCCAACCCACATAATTTGTAACCCCACAACGAGACTTTCTTTGTAAGGACAGTTGATGTTCGCTTCGCTCACTCCGCTCCATCTCCTGTCCTCTTTACTGGTATATTTATGAGCCATACCTAACAAATCTCCACCTTGGCGAATATCCTGCCCCTTGGAAACTTCAATGTGGGTTGGGTTACCTTGCTTCTTTAACAACTCGAAACATTCAACAAGTCCAAGCAATGCTTGAACTTGTCTGTCGTAACTGGCTTGGTGAACATATCAGCGGCATTCTCATCAGTATGTACCTTCTGAAACAAAACCTCTCCAGATGCAACCAACTCTCTGATCTTGTGGAACCTTACATCAATATGTTTAGTTCTAGCACGATACACCTGATTCTTAGCCAAGTGAATAGCACTTTGATTATCACAAAGCAACTGAACTCCACCTTGTTGAACACCCAACTCCTTCACTAAACCAGTAAGCCATAAAGCTTCTTTTGCAGCTTCAGCCGCTGCCACGTATTCAGCTTCAGTTGTAGATAGTGCCACGACAGATTGAACAGTAGACTTCCAGCAAATAGGCCCTCCACCAAGAGTAAACACATACCCTGTCGTAGATCTTCTATTATCCAAGTCACCTGCATAATCTGAATCCACATATCCTACAACCAAAGGATTATCCCGCTGATTCCCAAAAACAATTCCATGTCCCACAATACCCTTTAAGTACCGAAAGATCCACTTGACTGCATCCCAATATTGCTTACCAGGTTTAGACATGTACTTACAAACTTGACTAACAACATGAGCTAAATCAGGACGAGTACATACCATCGCATACATCAAGCAGCCAACAGCATTAGAATACGGAACCTTTGCCATATTTTCAGCTTCCTTATCTGTCTTAGGGCACTGTTCTGATGAGAGCTTAAAGTGATTCGCCAATGGAGTGCTAACTGGTTTCGCGCTGCTCATCGCAAACCTTTCTAGCATTTTCTCAACATAACCCCGTTGAGATAGCCGCAGTTTCCTTGAGTCTCTGTCCCTGCAAATTTCCATTCCAAGAATTTTCTTTGCAGCACCTAAATCTTTCATATCAAATTCCTGACTCAATAAAGTTTTCAAACCGATAACATCATCCATGTTCTTCGCAGCAATCAACATATCATCAACATACAGTAATAGAAAAATAAAAGAACCATCATCAAGGCTCTTAACATAGACACAACAATCATACTCACATCGGTTGTAGCCAATCTTGATCATATAGGAGTCAAACCGTTTATACCACTGTCTCGGAGACTGTTTTAACCCGTACAAAGATTTCTTCAATCTGCAAACTAAATGCTCGTTTCCAGGTTGAGTGAAACCTTTAGGTTGCCGCATGTAGATCTGCTCCTCTAAATCACCATGCAAAAAAGCAGTTTTAACATCCATCTGCTCTAAATGCAAATCCCAACTAGCCACCAATGCAAGTACTGCTCGGATTGAAGTGTGCCTGACCACAGGAGAAAAGATTTCATCATAATCAACTCCTTTCTGCTGTGAAAAACCCTTCGCTACCAAACGAGCCTTGAACTTCTCCTCCTCTTTTTCTGTTACTGCTGGTTTCTTCTTATACACCCATTTGCAACCAATCGGCTTCTTACCCTCAGGAAGGGGAACTAACTCTCATGTGCGATTGTGATTCAAAGACTCCATCTCCTCATCCATGGCTGCCATCCACTTGTCGTTTTCCTGACTAGTAAAGGCATCATGAAAAGTAACTGGATCATCACTGCTAACAGTAAGTGCAAAAGATACCAAGTCTTCAAAACCCAATCTGTTCGGAGGCTTTATATTCGTCCGTCTCACCCTGTCTCTGGCGAGACTATAATCCTGCAAATCATCCGTAGTGGAACCACCAGAAGTCGGTTGAGAAGTTTCTGGTTTCTCAACTGGAAACTGCTCGAAATCTACCACTGTCGTGTCTTGCTTCTGCTGCAACATAGACTGTTCATCAAAAACGACATCTCTACTAATCACAACTTTCTTCGCAACTGGATCCCAGAACTTGAATCCTTTGACACCTTTCTTGTAACCCAGAAAAATGCACTCCTTCGATTTTGCATCAAGTTTGGATCTCTCATCAGCAGATACGTGCACATAAGCAGGACAACCAAAAATCCGTAAGTTATCAAAACTAACATCATGACTAGTCCATACCTCTTCTGCAACTTTCCCAGCCAGCGATGCTCTTGGCGATCTGTTGATAAGGTAACACGCCATGTTAACAGCCTCAGCCCAGAAGTGTTTGGGAAGCCCCGCATTCAACCGCAAACATCTGGCTCTTTCATTCAACGACCTGTTCATTCGTTCCGCAACACCATTCTGTTGTGGTGTCTTGCGCACTGTAAAATGCCTCTGAATCCCATGCTCCTTACAGAATTGTAGGAACTGTGAATCTGTGTACTCCGTACCATTGTCAGACCGCAAACACTTGATTTTTCGTCCTGTTTGGTTTTCTACCTCAGCTTTCCACAGCTTGAACTTCTCAAAAACTTCAGATTTCTGTTTCAAAAAATACACCCAAACTTTCCGTGAAAAATCATCAATAAAAGTAACATAGTACCTAGATCCACCCAAAGACGATGTCGTGGAAGGCCCCCATACATCAGAATGCACATAATCAAGAATCCCTTGAGTTGTGTGCTTCGCAGTCTTGAAACGGACTTTAGTCTGTTTACCAAGAACACAATACTTGCAAAAATCGAGCTTACAGCTTTTGACACCATGCAACAAGTTTCTCTTGTGTAATTCTGCCATACCACGTTCACTAAGATGAGCAAGGCGCATATGCCACAATTTTGTCGTATCATCACAGGACTCAATAGAGTGAACTCCACCTGCAACGGTACTCCCTAACAATCTGTAGATATTCCCTGCAGTCATCTTGCCTTTCATCACAGTCAATGCTCCTTTAACAATCCGAATGGTTTCCCTATCCTCGTCAGCCTTAGGGATAAAACCATTCTTGTGCAAAGTGCCCAAGGAAATCAAATTCTTCTTCAAGTCTGGGATATGTCGAACACCACTCAACGTCCGAACGGAGCCATCGTGCATCTTGATTCTGACATCACCAATACCAACAATATTGCAACATCGATCATCACCCAAATAAACCGAACCAGAATTAATCGGCCTGTATGTCGAAAACCATTCCCTATTTGGCGTGATGTGATAAGAACATCCAGAATCAAGAATCCAAGCATCCGTCAATTGTGTCGTTGAAATAGAAAGCATATCGCCCTCACTGCAATCAGAAGTATCATCCTCGATTTTCACATCAAGCCGAGCCAGATCAGAAACGATTTGATTGAATACATTCACGTGTTGCGCCAAATCGTGATCGTCCTGCATCTTCAGCCCATACAGCCGCTGCTTCAGATACAGTTTTGTCGTTAAGGATTTGGACATAAACTGACTTTCCAACTTCCTCCAAATTTCGTCTGGAGACGATAGATGCATGACGTGATACATGACCTCGTCCGCCAAGCATAATCGTATGGTTCCTGCCGCTCGCTGCTGCAATTCTTCCCAATCTTCCTCATCCATCGACGCCGGCTTTGTAGGTCGCAAAGCCTTCAAGATCCCTTGCTGCGCCAATAGATCCTTCACCCTCGTTTGCCA